CCATAATTACAATTTCTAATATAATACATATGTATACAATCTTAAATAACATTAATTATAACGTATTACTGGTATATGACGTAAGTAAAAGTACGTAATAAGTAAAGTTAGATATGTAAAACCCGCATGTTAAGATAAGTTGCAATAAAAATTGTAATACAAGTATTTCAGGTTTTTTTTTCGTTTATAATATCAACAATACAAGAGTTAATTGTTAGTATTAAACAAAATATATATATTGTATGATATTTATATGCACATATGTTTGTGACATAAGCTACGGTCAACTCGACGCTACAAATATTTTGAAGCGTCCTTCCTCTTCTTTTTTCTTCCTTGAAAGAAAGGAGAAGAGGAATATGCTTCAAAGCATTTGTAGCGTCAAGTCGACCGCAGCCATAGATTCACATTGCGTACTATATTACACCAATATTTTGTTTTACTACATGTGTCCAACATTACGATCCTTGCGTTTGCTGAAGTATATTATAAGCTGAATACGATGTCTTGAGCAACTACAACAGAAATTATTGTATGTGAATATATATAATTACTTTTTATCCTATAATTAATATATATAAATATATAATTAATTGAAATAAATTTCTTTTTATTAAGCGTACTAAATATCTAAATTACTATTAACATATAGGCACACAAATTAATATTTCTCATTAAATAACAAAATATATTAAATAATACGTAATATAATGTCCCATATTTAATAATAATATTTAAATATAGGACAATATCAGTATTTAAATATATTAAGTAATATAAAATATGTACATTAAATAATATATTTTATTAAAAAAAGCAAATACATTTGTTATTAAAATTTTATTTACGACTTCTGTTTAATTATACATATAATGACACATTTCGATACTAACACCCACGAATGAATCCAGGTTCATAGAAATAACAGAGGCGCTAGTAAATTCAATTGGAACTGCAGCACGTCTTACGATCATTAATAAAGCTTTCTGAGCGTTTTTATTGAATTTAAACCAATCCATTTCGAACACATTATTTATTAACTGTCGACTCTGTATTTAACAATCAAAGACCTACTCTTTATTTTATCCACATAACATACTTAATATTTTAATTAGAAAAAATATCTTTTTTTTTTAATATACATACTCTCAATTTAACTTCGTTCCCGTACCAACAATAGAAAAAGATTTGTGACAGCATGGAGCACGTATACAATATTAATTGCATATACTTTGTTTTTAACGCCGATGACTTGGTAAATTGATACAAATTAAAGCACATCACCAATGTACTCACAACAAACTGGACAAATATAGTTATTCTGAATTTTTCATTTACTGTACGAGCAAATCTAAAATTAGTAAAAAGTAATAATGCAATAACTGAAAAAAATATATAAAACTTGAAAATGTAAAAAACGTACGATAAAAGTATATAAACAGCAGATGAAATTCATTTTACAAAAATTACAAACTTTTAATTAACGTAAAGTATATATACATCAATTAAAAATATATGAATATGACAAATATGAATTTGACAAAGAAATATATTTAGTAGAAGACATTACTCCTTTATTATCTTCAAAACTATTATCTTTAAAAACTAAAATGTCTTTACATCTAAACAATAGTGGAAAGTTTGTACTACATAATTTTACGTTAGTTATAAAAACAAACTTGAATATATGGTTGTGCTGAAGAACACATTCGCGAATAATGTTAGGATCATATACGCTTTTCCTCAAACGGTGCTCCAGTATTTCTATCTGGCAGCAAATGTGCACGAGGAATCCGCATATGAGACTATCGCAAGCCACATGGTGTACAGATCCAATTGTAAAACTTATCAATTGATGAGCGTATACGAATGGAAAAAGTAGCGGCGAGGAATAGTCAAACGGTAGCCATGCTCGGAACGTCAAATTTCCTTTCCCGAATTCCGTCAGTAATGACGTCACAGCAACAGATAGACACGTTGACTCGACTAAGATAAAATAATGAAGCGTATTCGACCTGTAAAATGACTATAGACGTTTTCGCGTTTCACTTTTTATTCAATATTTTCTTCAATTGCTAAAGCGTTACGTTTGATTTGTTTATTCATATAAGGGGTCATATCCGTTTCTCGGCTCTGAAAATTGGTCCAATAATTATAAGGGATTGCTAGAAAACTATTAGACCAATTAAGATGAATCTTTTTTTATTGTAAAGAGTGTCTTTTGCAGAAAAAAAACATACATAAAGAAGAAAAAATACAAAAAAATGTAGCGGCTGCGAGCATTGGCGTAAGACGTTTTTTTCGCGCAAGCACAAACGGTGGGCGTGATTCAGCTCGTAGGATTGGTTTGAAACAAAATTTTGGGATTTTTTTATTACTTTTTGGGATCGTGATTCTCGTGTATCGAGGGGGATTTTTCGAAAACAAAAAATTACGGAAATGGTCACACTTTCAAAAAATTATCGTGATTTTTTCTGAAAAAGTTGTTACATTTTTTATTATTATTAAAACATGATTGAACTTATCAATAAAAGCTCTCGTAGCACGATAAAGAATCTCATTAAGCATATGTATAAAAAATATGAAGTTAATCGGACGAATGCTGAGGCAGTTATCATGCCCACCGTCTTGAAAAGTGGTGTTTCGAGAAAAACAAAAAGCCGCTACATTTTTTTGTATTTTTTTTCTTAGTATAAGTTTTCTTTCCTGCAAAAGACACTCTTTACAATAAAAGAAAATTTAATTTAATCGGTCTAATAGTTTTCTGGCAATCCCTCATAATTATTGGACCACTTTTCAGGGTCGAGAAACGGTTATGACCCCTCATATAAATAAGAAGCAAAGTTAATAACGGCGCGCAAGCAAGTTAATATATATTTTGGTTATGCAATATTGTTGTATGTATTTTAGTAGAGCAATAATAGCTAATGCTAGCTCGCGATGCTTACTGTATGAGTTTTTCAAATTTCTGCCGAATCTTCACCTCGTCAAGTTCAACCGGTTGGAACGGTTTACTCACAAGAACCTCGATTAACATCTCAATATTGCTGCGATTCATTAATAGAGCGAACATCTTACAGCAAGAAACAATCATAGCGAGTAGCACGTAGAAATTATCGGTGAAATCATCGGAATTGTCCACGATCATAATAAGATCCACCAATTGCGATAACATAAACGTGTGTATTAGTAACATTACAAAAATAGTGTACACGTGATAAACTGACCGTTGATACGACGTCCAGGAATCTGGTATCCAGCATCCGCAAATCATTAATATTCTAAACGTAAAACCTAATATTTGCATTTTTAATCTTCAATTGATTTCCGTCGAAGAGTCTCAATCAGTATCTTTTCTCCAGATAAACCGCGTGTGC